ACAGGCGTGTTTGGCGGCTCTGCCTTGTCGGGTGTTTGCAGGAGCTCTCCCGTGCCCATACTTTAAACCACTATATCTCCTAAACGGTTTGAGATACAACTCTGTGCGTGGTCTCATTCGATTCAACGCGTCTTTTTCCACAAGATAAGAACACCCACACGCACCAAGGAGGCAAAAGACGTCAAACAATGCTCAAAACCTGCATTTTTTAAAAAATAAATGGCAAAATTTTCATACTTTGAACCGCTATGTCTCCTAAACGGTTTGACATAAAAATCTGCGCGTGGTCTCATTCGATTCATCGTGTCATTTTCTATAAGATAAGATCATCAGAAATTTTTGTCCACATATTTTTCCCAGAAACCCCAAGAAAAAACTGTTTTTTATGTGTTGTTAGGGTGTTTTCGGGAGTTTACTCTTCAGGTATTCGTCGGAGGTCAAATCTGAGGTCATATTCTTGTTCCTTGGCCAATTTTACGAAAAGAGACCAAATTTTAGCCCTCTACTATGAAAAGTGAAAAATTAGTCCAAAATACCCAAATTCGTGTTTTTTCTCCAAAAGTTAAACTAAAGTTTGCCATATCTCGGGCAATAAATTTTTGCGGGACCTAATATTTTGGCTTTAGACTCTCCTTTAGTGAGTTATTAAGCCTACAAAAAATCAGGCAAATCGGAGAGGGTCACCGGAAGAAGTGGTCCGTCTTAGTTGATTTTGCTCTTTGTGAATGATGTCAAAACCGGTGTCTTTTATTGCAAGCCTATACCGATAAAATATTCAGCCAATGAAGGTTTTTTTTCTCCTCTAGTATTTTCAAGTTGGGCCTTGTTGCCGTGAAGATGAAGCAATGGAAACCAATTGAATGTCCATTGTTCGCATTGAAGGATTCCTTGGTCCTGGTCCCCGCTCTCCTGGTTGCTGTTCTTGAGGAAAGTACATCGCATCATAGGACATTGGTGGCAGCTCACCGGTAAACCCAGCACCCACTCCATTACTGGAGTGATTGTGTACTGGTTACCTCTTAGTAGCCGTTGAATGTAATCGTCACAAACTCTGGTCACTCCTGTTGCTCTGTCTTTTAGATTCATGACCAAAACAACATCTCTCATTGCATGATCTTGTGCTCGGGCTGTTTCCTGTTCTCTTTCTTGCACTCCCCGGGTTGTTTCAAAGGCGCGGACATATTCGTTTTCTTGCCGAAGACATCGTTCCAACACACTACATCATTGTCCTGTCCATCATTGTAGCGTAGTCCTGACGCTCTTTGGCGTAGGATTTCTTCCTCAGTGTCATTGTCATTGGAATAGTCTAAAAAGTATATTTGGCCAGTATTTGGACCTCTTGTAACATCACCAGGGTCCCTCTAAGCATGATTATGCCATTTGACTTCACCGTTGGTTTTCAAAAACCAAAAACCGGTTTGTCTGTACCCAACGTTTGAAAACTCTCCAGCAACGAAACTGGTTGCAAACAGCTCCGTTTGCTCGAGAACGGAATCACGTGAGGAGCCTCAGGAGTAGTAACTTGCACCTCCGCAGGTTTACAGCGTGGGACGTAGGTTGGAGTTGCAGTTATCACCGGCGTTTTTTCAGTTGGTACATGCGGCCAGTGAGACTTTGGTGTAGCAGCCGGGGCAGCGGTCCTGTTTAGCTCTTCGAGCCTCGCGATAATCCCCATGGTCGCCGAGTCTGCCAGCAGGTCTGGGTAGTCCGGCACGGTTGGTGGAGAGGAGGGTGCCGTGGATTCCTGCAAAGATCAAAAACAGGTAAATGACGTTGTATGTAAAATTTGGTTGCGAATTTTGCGTTAAAATTTCTAACAGCAAAACATTTTAAAATAATTAAAACAAGAATGAGCATCAGCATTGCCAAGACAGCTCCAGTTTACCCTCAAAGGACCTCTTTCTTAGCGTAAAAGATGCCCATGGTTACGCTGTCACACTGAGTATGAGATAAATAATCATTTCCTTTTTTGTTGACGACAAATCGCTACGTTTTAAATTAATTAAGAACAAAAATAAGGATCCGGTGGGTTGCCGACCCTACGAGCAGAAAATGTCGAATGTCGAAAAATTCGTCTGTAGGATAGGCAACCCACCGGATTTGGACGCCTGAAACGGTAATCGAAAGTTTTTGACCAGGCGCGTCAAATGGCACCCCAAGAAATCCGACCAGATGCCAAACCAGATATTTTGTATCACAAAAGTGCACTTTTCCGGCAAATTTCAGTGGTTTTTTGCTCCTGTACAGTAGATAACCCAACCAATTTTGACGCCCGAGTAATTTTTTGAAAGGTTTTGATCAGGCGAATCGATTGGCGCCCCAATCAATCCGGTCGGATGACTTTAACTCCTTCGAAACGCAGGAACATGTTGGATTTAGGGGCTAAAAACGAGATTGTACGCCCCTGGAAAATAGGCAATGCGTTGGATCGTCATGTTATGTACATCATCGAGAAAAACGCACTTTTCCGAAAAGATTCCCATTGCAATCGGAAATCGGTCAAAGACCTTCGAAACGGCATCGATTTTAGTAATCCAGTCTATTTTCAATTTTTCTTTAAAGTTCAGGTGCGTTGATGAACCCCTAAAAATGGTCCAAACCTAATCTTATTTATATCAAAATTCATGATTTTGCACCTACTTTCAGAATCTGGACGGCGCTCCTCAATTTTTGAAACTGTTAAAAAAAGTGGGCCACCCTCTGCGCTGTCCCCAGGTCACCCATCGGGCCTGCTTGCTGTCTCTCCCGAAGCGCCTAATCAGACGGATATCATTGGCTTAATTTTTTAGGGAATTTTGTCGTTTTATGATTTTTTTGTGTTTTCAGTATTTTCTTTACAGTGCACCCTCAATTAGGTGAGTTGAGGTACACCTGCATCCACAAACCCACTCGCTTTGCATTCCGCGCAGCACATGTTTTGGAGCTGTGGAGCCTATGGTATCATTATGGCAAGGTGCCCCGGCCGGGTAATTTTTTTAGGCTTGGACAACCGAACTTCTCTACATCAAAGATTTCTTTGAGGGTAAGAGGAATTTAAGAATTCTCTTTTCTCATCCCCCCTTTACATAAGTCATACCCCCCGACATCTCGCTCAGAGTCTGAGGGAGCCTGTCAAGGGCGAGAAGCCAGTTTCCAGGGAAGGGAATGCAAACGCCTCACGATGTACTTGTTTTTGGGGCAGCTGCTTCTCGGGGATCTCATCTCCCGGGTAGGGTGGAGCGAAGGTGGCCGACTTGTGGATCTGGGGCCCCTTCGTTCTGTTCATAGAACGAAACCTCTTTGAGAACATACTCCCCGTGCTCACACACTACTACCATCGGCGCCAGGCCAGTTTTTTCTTGGCGCTTTTGAAGAGAGTTTTCTAT